AATCGGCAATTTGCGATTCGCATATATTTTTAGTGATCTAATATTTCAAATACACAAAATGTTGTTGTTGTCGTCGTTGGTCCGATTTATTTCAACCCTTCACCATTCAATTTTTTTTTTCTTCTCGCTTTCATGCAAATTATATTATCATAAGGGTTTTATTGCCCTTCAGTCAAATCTTCTCATTTCCTAAAATATAGAGGCACTGGGTTTCTCACGGGAGCCACCCCCCCCCCTGCGTATTCACCAGCTGGATGAATCGCTGCTAAATATTTTCTCAAGATTTGGCCCCCCCCCCTCTTGTCGACGGCTGGATCCGCCCCTGTCCCCCTCCAATTCTTCTTCTTACTTTTAGAGCTTACTCTCTTAAAAAAAAGAGTGAATTTTCACTCTATTTTCACTTTCTTGGGAGTGACGTCCGTGATCACTTGTTTAGGAGTGAAAATCGATTGATTTTAGATTGCTCTCTAAGAAGAAAAGAATGAATGTTCACTCTATTTTCACTACATTTTCACTCTCCAGAGGATTGACGTCCGTGATCACTCGATTTTTTTAGAGAGAGTACGTTTTATTCTATCCGCGATTAAGGGTGTACCCTGGTTTCTCCCAATTATTACGCTATATTCCATAATGTACCACTCATTACTTTGTTTTTGTTATATTGATGTAAATGTCTTTCACAAGCTGCTTTTTTATGTTATCTAGTTTGAAGCAATAAACTTATAAATATTTTTTTTTAAATAAAAAAAAATACGTACTTTACCAGAATAGACCTGTGTCTTTTTTAATTTCAATTTTTCTCCTGGTAACTAATTATTTTAAGGGAAATCCAACCTTGATAGCAAACTTCTCTCAGAGTAAAGCAGGAAAATCAGAGAAATAGACTGATAAACCGGGATAATATTAGAAAGTTATGAATGTATTGAATAAAAGATCACAAGTCTATGCAAATCACAGATTGGCGATTTAGTCAGTGGATCGTGACATAGTTGAGAATAACTCTCCCGTTTGACGTGTACCTAAACATCGTTCATTTCTGTTTTTTTCCTAAGCGCCTTCTCCCTTGGGGCACTTCTCCTAATATATATTTATGGGTAGCATATTATCATAGGTCATCTAAAGAGAAAAGGCCGCTCCCGAAACCAGTGTGGCGGATCCAGGGGAGGGGTCCGTTTTTTGCTCAAAGAAAAAAAAAGTGCTCACTACTACTCCCCCCCCCCCCCCCCCCCCCCCCCGCGGAGTCGGCCGGTCGGCTGAGAAACATACACTTTTGAAAAGGTGAATTAAAAAAAAAAACAACAACAACAACAACATTTGTTTGTTTCGTTGTTGAAACAAAATGGGAAAGTTGTCCGCTACTACACCACATAGCCTTTACCACGAATTGAGCCAATTTGAAGAGTATAGTGATTGCAAATTAAATTATCCGATCCAACATTCACTATTTTACTTATATGATTTTGTGCTTTCCTCTTGAGTAGCTTGCTATCACGGTTGGTTTTCCCTTCATTTCGGGTGCATCATCTAACGGCACACAAAGTGACATTAATTTTCTTCGAGATTTTTTTTCTCCATACCAACAAAATGCAGGGCAAGTGCACTCAAAAAAATAACTTACTTTCAATGAAAAGCAGAACAATCAGACAAAACAATACAAAAAGTTTGCGCAAAATCGGACAACCAAGGCATAAACAAACTTTGAAAATCACAAGACAAATTGGCAACTCACTCATAAGTCTGTGACATCATTGCCTCACTATCCACTTATTGTTTTGTTTTTTTATTGATAATATAAATTTCCAACTTTTCCTCTAAACATCTACACAGTTAAAATTTTTGTGAACAAGTTGTTTAAAAGTTTAAACAACTCTTGATTAACGGGTGACCTGATCTAAGAGTTGTTTAAAATGTTAAGCAACTCGAGTTGTTTAAAGTTTAAACACTTAGTTGATCAACATTTTGAACAACTTGTTTAAAATCACAATTTAAACAACTGGTGTTGTTTAAAGACGGTTGTTTAAAAAGGAGCTGTTGTTCAGTGGGGGTTGTTTACACCAACTGGGTTGTTTAAAGAAAGTTGTTTAAAAAGGAGCTGTTGTTCAGTGGGGATTGTTTACACCAACTGGGTTGTTTAAAGAAAGTTGTTTAAAAAGGAGCTGTTGTTCAGTGGGGGTTGTTTACACCAACTGGGTTGTTTAAAGAAAGTTGTTTAAAAGGAGCTGTTGTTCAGTGGGGGTTGTTTACACCAACTGGGTTGTTTAAAGAAAGTTGTTTAAAAAGGAGCTGTTGTTCAGTGGGGATTGTTTACACCAACTGGGTTGTTTAAAGAAAGTTGTTTAAGAAGGAGCTGTTGTTCAGTGGGGGTTGTTTACAACAAAAGGGTTGTATAATGGGGTATAATTTGGGTTTGATACTCTGAATAAGTGCACCACTACTTCTGGGTCTCTATATAGGTATATGAAGACTACAAGACTACAATATGGTAGGGTAATTCTGCAATTCATGAATTAGCGCCAAAACAGTGCCCATTTTGCATGAGCGCGCATGCACGCACGTATAAACTGCATATATAGGGATACATGCAATCTATATGGCAAGGGATTTAGCACACGTTATAACCGAGTGCGCGATCAGTGCCGCACTGCATGACGCGACGATTTTAAGTCTACCTTTATTCTGACATTTGCGTACAGATACTGAAAATTGTAACTGTGAACTTACGCTATAAGTTAAAAACTTCAAATTGGTTAATAGAAAAGTGATTTCAATTAAGACATTGAATCCCCAGTCACTTAGAAGCGCGTCGGTAGCTTGGTCGGCCATGATGTGTGTTGTGTTGTGGGTTGGAAAGTAAAAACTATTAAGCTAAATAAATGTAAGTATAGAGACAAACAAAATGGAGCCTGCAGAAACACGTGTGGTTGCTTTGGTAGTTTAATCCAGACTCAATGTCCATGTGCTTTTACATATGTATCAATCTGTGTAGTCAACAGAAGACCCTTGCATATACTTGCATTGTGTGTATGCATCTAATATGAATAACAATGAGCTGTGCCTGAACAGCTGCACTGCATTTCTAAGTGGCATGTTAATTTCAATTGCATGTTAGTTTCAAGGAACCTGTTTCTAAACATAACAATGTGAAATAAAGCTTTTAGCCAGCGCGCACTTTACAGGCACGAGACACATGACGTCATATGTAAACAACACTGTCTAAAAGCTCTCGTATAGTAAATATAGCAGTCATTAAATTTTAAACAACGAATGTTTAACAAAATTACTTTCGTTTCGAGCAACATTGTTTACAATTTGTTCAACTGTTGTTTAAGATAGTGTACAACTGTAAGTGAACATCACTTTTTTAAACAGCGTTTTTACTGTGTATTTCCTCACACCATCATCCAAGTTATATTGATAGTATATGTTTGTGCGTGGATGCACTAATACAGAGTGTGTTTTTTTCCTCAGTTGAATCATGAAAAATGTGAATTTTGATAAACTATTCATATAAAAATCAATGATTATAAATATACTGTAATATTCAGAAAATAATATCAACATTATTCTTCAAAGTTTATAAAAGATTTTGTGAAATGACATGCACGCAATATGATACAAATCATTTAACCTTGGCATAGGCATGGGATAAAAAATATATCAAGCAATAATAAATATTGAGGCAATGACGTCACAAACAGATGGCCTATAGTTGGCAATTTGTGTAGTGATTTTCTAAGTTCCATACTTTTTCATACTCTAACAAAAATTCATATTAAAAACTAGTAGTTATCCGATTTTACCCAATTTGTTTCGCTCTGTTTCTCTTGTTTTTCTGCATCTATTAAAAGCTAATTATTTTGGAGTGGACTTAGACTTATTACATGAGCAATCTCAATCAAAAACATTAATAGTTTTAGCACAAGGGAGAAGGCGTAATCAATCCTTAAAGTATATTTTAGGCTCATTGTATAATGAATTCGCATTATTGAACAATACACTTTGGAATATGATGGGCCTATTAAGTATAAAAACGAACAAGAAGAATCGATAAACAAAGCAAAAGAAAAGGAAATACAGGAAAAATGAATGAATAATTTAGTATCTATCCGATATAATTGTGGAATCCACTTTGCATACAATGTGTAGCAAACCTCTGGTATAATCTTTAAAGTTGTGTAGTGCAACCTTTTCCAAGAAGTGTGCATACACTTATAGTAGGCCTATAAAACAGGATTGTATGATTAGAAAATGATTTACTCACTTTTCTTCCCCTTGATCCATTAACTTTATTCCAGATAACATTTCCTCCCAATTTAAATTGCGTATCGGGATATGAAGTAGAAATACGTTTCAATCGTTTCATCCAACCGAATCGTTTTATCCAACGAGAATGTTTACTTTGAATTGCAAAGAATCAGCATTTATTAATCGTTCGCTCGATTTTTTGTTCTTCTCTTTCTTTCATCTTTTTTGTTTGTTCTTTCTTTCTTTCTTTCTTTCTTATATAAATTTCTTCCTTTCTTTCTGTTTTGTTACTTATTCACACATATGATCTTCTCCTTCCTTAGGTCATTCCTTCGTTCATTCCTTCCTTTATTCATTCACTCATCCCAGGGAGGTGAGACTTTCCTGCTCATCCTTTGATCCATCCATCCGTCTATCAATACATTCATCCCTTCGGGCCTAATCATTTAATTTACTATGCGATCTATGTAAATCGTTGAATCTTGATAGGGATGGGAGGGGTGGTCACACACTGCCCACTGCAACAAACAACCTTTGAAACTAAAGGCCTACGAATCAGGCTCATTCATAATTACTCTCATTGTTAATGTTGGGAATCAAAAATACATGAGGAAAGCTTTTTGTCGTTCGAATTTAATACAAGACTTATTTTTGTGCATTTGGGAATATTTGTCTTTATTTGAATACACACATAATATGTTTCGACTTTGCTGATTAAGTTAATAAAAGGGGGATAAACAGAATGTGGAAGACTTGACAGCAGACTACATAACATTACCCCTTGCGCTGTCCTGAAAAGACCTTGGATGTGTTACATAATTCGTCGGAATATTTCGAGGAATAATTGCTATTTGAGATGAAAATTGTTCACCACAACTAGATCAAATGATATAGCATTCATCATATTTTGCTTTTTCAGAACTCGGTAAGCATTTCAATTCATAAATCACCTTTTTTGAGGTCAGTGACGTCGCTTTGTTTGACTATGTCTATGGTTGGTTGGGTTGTGCTGGTATGCTGTGCTGTACCACATTATTGTTTTGGTGTTTGCTAAGTTATGTTTGCGTTGTGTGATTTTAAAATAGGCATAGCATAGCTCATACATGTAGCCTACAATTACAAACACTCAAGGAGGCATTACTCCTAAAAGTCATAAGTATACTGTTTGTGTATGGAAAACTGTTAACATTTTCAGACGCGTCAGCAATGCGTAAAAACAGATTCCGCGATGATTTTCTTGATGCATTTTAATTTTTACATCAATTGACCTTGTAGTACAGCCTACAGGGACTTTCACATTGTAAGTGATAAATCCTTTGGAAGACGGACAACTCTTAAAAGTAGAGGGTGAACTGGGGATATTTTCTCACACGGACTCTGTTTTTCGCATCGTCAGCGCGCCGTTCAGAAACCCGCAGAAAAGGCGCAGAGCGCCGATGTCGATGAAAAAAAACGTCTGCAAAAATCTAGGACGCAAGTTGTCCGCGTTAACGAGGATAACCTCATTTATGGGGACGATCCTAATTTTCGGAACAGGGCCCCTACTAATAGCAGTAAAAAAAAACTAAAATAGTTCTAGGTGTACATTCAATTCATCTCATCAATGCAATGTTGGACTTGGAAAAAAATACAAGACAATAGCAAAAACAGGACATGACAGGAACAATCAGCTACATTTTAGGGAAGGGAGTAAACAATTGGGCTAAAATTCCTTTGCTAAGAATGGATATTAAACTGCTAAAAAAAATGGATACGGAACTACACTAGCGCCGACAAATGCTCATATACCCTTTACATCTCATTTTATGTGTGTTATTACCAAAGAAGAAAAAAAGCCAGTCAGTCACTCAATAGTGTCTGACAGTGAAGTCTAGCAAGTAAACGGTTTTCCTTGCATAATTTGAATATTAGGACACTGCTAACATTTAAAATTCACAGATATTCACAAATATTACACAGTGGCTTTAAAGTTTGTTATATACCTCACTTAAGAAATCCAGCCATGTGATTGGTCAAAATTGCATTCATAAACTTAATAGTTGTTTTTATACGCTCTCGGGAAGGTTACAATTGGGCTATTGCCCTCGGCACACCCCGGGCAATAGCACAAATCTAACCTTCCCTTGAGCGTATAAAAACAACTATTTCTCTCAAAGCAGTCATTAATACTATACTAGTGGACTCTTCTTTCTTTAACATTCAGTATGAAATGTCAGATTTTGCTACGGGAATGGTAGCGATTTGCTTACATTGTACCTTTCATTTGTTCCTGATGATAATTAGTAAAGGTGTGATTTACATTATAACAGGGGGAGGGGGAGGGGGAGGGGGGGGGATTGATGCAAAAAACAAACTGTTTTTTTGTAGTGCTAACTATCACCCCTGCTTTACGATAATAGCGATTAGTATAAGCATATGAAGGCGTGCATGTAGCTGAATTTAACAAACTCCCTGCGGGTCATTTTTGCAACTTCAGTCCAGGAAAAAAGAATATTCGAAACATTTCGGGGCTACTTTTCAAGCTTGCTTGCATGATTTTAATTTGTTTTGCATTAAACTCTACACAAATTTTTGGGGGCTCTTTTTGACAATCCGGTAACAAATTTGCCCCCAGCCCCCATGTATTATTTCCCTGCTTCGGTCTAATGAGGACAGGCCTATAGTGCGATATTGTTTAGTATAGCTGCCAGCCATTCCTGTTTTGGAGGACATACAATATTTTGCCTTCAGACTGATTTGGTTGACCTTAGACTTCTCTCTTTTTTACAAAAACTGTTCAATATATTATACCGGTACAAGATTACAAAACAGACATTATAATACCTAATTTTGCCTTGGGGAAATTCCCAGTGGTTGGTTACCAACAATTTCTCTTTTCATTCTGCAGGGAGAAAATCTGTTGCTATGGCGATGAGAGATCTCGTGGAGGGGGAATGTGGGACAGCCAACCCCTTGATGCGTCTGACGTCTCATTTCACTCAAGACAAGTCGCTGCACCAGGAGGGGCTACAACATCTACCAAGACCTGGAGGGGTGGTGCAGGGGCGAGGCCCTTCCTTGAAGCCCCCGACCATGAGGTATGCATTTATTATATATATTCATCTATCTGTCGATCCACCCATCCATCCGTCTATCCATCCAAATTTTTCATAGAAATCCAGCATTTGTTATTGATAGTTTTATGAAACAGGGTCCAAATGTTTTTTTTTCTTAATTCTTGATTTGTCTGATCAAAGCATTAGTAGGGCTGCCAAATAATGCAATTAGATAAAAATATCAGATATTACGTGTACATACGTACTAAAATCTTGGATATAGTTGATAACGTATGGGACAGAATAACTTGCCCTATTGCACATGAAGAGTCTCTCTTTCAACCTATACCGGTAATCTTCACTTGGAATAATTTTCCTGGTATCGCATCGCAATTTGCTATGAATTTTTGCATGACTGCTATATAAAACAGGCCTGATAAAAACCCGATTTAAATCGGTTTCCCGATTTTTTAAATATTTTTCCTGATTTTTTTTCTTCTTCCCAATTTAAAAAAAAAAAAAAAAAAAAATCCTGTTTTTTTTTGTTGTTTTTTTACCAATTTTTTTTTTCTTCCCTATTTTATCCTGATTTTCCCGATTTCCCCCTTATTTTCTCTGTTTTTCTCTATTTTGCCCTATTTTTTGCCCTATTTTTTTCCAATTTTCTTACTCGAAAGGATGGAATGTTGTTAGATGCCATGTTTCCCCCGCGAATCCTCTCCTTTTTTTTTAATCAAGGGGGGCGTGGTTGAGGGGAAAACAAAAAACCTATTTTTTTTTTAGTGCTCACTATCATCCCTGATAAAATATCGTTTGTGTTGCAGTTTTCTTCCATAGAAATGTACAGAATTTCATTTGAAAGATTTATCCATCGGCTGAAATTGCTAATCAAAAGATTTGAGGAAAATTATTCCGTGCTTCATGTTTTATGTTCACAGTTGGTCAATGAATTCCTGTCCGATCAGCATCGTCATGCTGGTCCACCTCAGACGTTCCGCATGGATGCACTCCTTCAAGAGATGCAGGAGATAGAAGGCATGCATCACAGGCAAGCCCTAGCCCAAGGTATACCTATCAAAATAAAATAATGATAATAATCTGGATTTGTGTATACATGTAGAGCGCTTTATACGAAATACCGTCTCTAAACGTTTTACAGATATTATTACCCTGTCATCAGATTTATTCACCCACAATGTACATGTACACAGTCTCCACTCCCTGGGGAGTATTCCTACCATATGGTTTTATTACAGTGAGAGCATATTACAATTTACAATTACACAAAGGCTTGTGTCATCTTACCAGGTCCCCAATTCTCTCCTGGGTACGTTGTGCAAATTTAGATTAAAGGTAATACAAAGTTTTGGTAATATTTCAACAGGATTGCATTATGAAATTTAGAATGTGCATTACCATTTGAAACCTAGTGTTAGAATTTAAATTTTAAAAAATTTGGCTCTAAAACGCTAAGGATTTTGAGAAATTTAAATATCAAATTTATTGGCGCTTCCAATAAATTTCCAAACCGGAATAGAAAATTGGTCAATTTTAGTAAAGAAACATTGTTTTGAAGATAAATTCATGTCAATCTTGAGAGGGCGCTATACAACATAGAGAGGTTGTTATTCACAATTTCATCACTTCAGACTCAATTTCAACCGTGACAACGATCATTGAATATTGTAGAATCACATACGCTTCCAATATGTTCATTAGAACCAAATTCATGACCCCATACCAAAACTTTGTATTAACTTTAATGCCTTGCCAAAAGACATTATCAATTTTAAACATAGATTTCAGTCAGTACGCTTTTATGAATAGCAATCGTTGTGGTCCAAAGTTTTCACTTTTTGTGATCTTACTTTATAGCCCCAGGAGTAGCAGACCTTGCCTCCAGGGCAGATTGGGCAGCTGATTTTCTTGAGGCGGAGCAGAGGAGGGCAGAGGAAATCGTTGATGACACTGACCTGAACTGGACAAAAGATTTCCTAGACTCTCAGAGAGAAGCGGGTGAGTTTTGTCACAGTATGTTGACACCCTATGGCCACCCCTCTGCCCCACCCCTACCCCACCCCACCCCTAGTCTATGACATGAATTATGTAGTAGTCAGCTATAACGAGGTCGACTATAACAAGGTAACGGTCATAACGAGGATGTTGTCACAGGCCCATATCAATTTGCGTGTAACTCTGGGTGCGTTTATCGTGTCTTGCCACTGGATATGTACATATTGAACCCCACTATCAAACCCCACTATACGAACGTGATTTGCGGGATGTCACGTTTTTCGTCTCTTCACGATTCAAAATAAAGGCCTTGTCTCTGCGCAGCTGCTTTGCGCCGTGTGACCCGGGAAGCAGACAGTTTCTCGGAGGTCAACTACACATACATGCTTGTGCAACAACATGACACAACACATGGCGCGCTACCCTCCCAACCGGAAATTAACCTGGGAGGTCCTATTTGTATGCAGGGTTCAAAACAGCTTTGCGTTTATGATCTCTCAGAAACGTGATTCTGGCTGTATGTCACATTCAAAACGCACCTTTTTTGGCGTTACAATATGCCCACAACTAAAGACGTTTGAAAAAGGTTTTGCATTTATCACCTTAACATTTGCCTGAAAGACGTTTGAGAAACCTGATTCTAGGCAGAAAATTGGTCAATAAACCACCCTCTATCGCAGCATGAACCTCTTATAACGAGATCGACTTTAACATGATTTCGGCTATTATGAGATATTGGAATAGTAAAGATTTAAGAGCACTATAATGGAATGTTGCAAATATCATGTGGCTCTAATTTATTACACTTACAGCGTATTATCATTAATATTATTTATTCATTTTATTTTTAGTGGGACCGGACATTATAGCCACAACAGATACGAAATGGGCAACAGAATATCTTGACCAGAGCGATGATAAACTATGGTATGTATTCATTTTTTCTTTATACTGAGCTTCATACATATTGAACTACAGTACACATTTTTCTTATCTCTTGTGAATTTATTCTTTCTATTATTTTTCATCTTCTTTTTCTTCTTCTTCTTCTTCTTCTTCTTCTTCTTCTTCTTCTTCTTCTTCTTTTTCCTCTTTTTCTTCTACTTGTTCTTGTTCTTTTTCTTCTTGTTCTTCTATTTGTTTTTCTCCTTCTATTCCTTCTTCTTCTTCTTCTCCTTCTTCTCCTTCTTCTCCTTCTCCTTCTTCCTCTTCTTCTTTTCTTCTCCTTTTTTTTTCCTGCTTCTCCTTCTCCTACTTCTTCCCCTTCTTCTTCTCCTATGTTTCCTCCTTCTTCTTGTTGCTCTTGTTCTTCTTGTCTTGTTCTTCTCCCCTCCTTCCTATTTATTGATATTCAACATTAACCAGTTTGTGAAAATTTGTCAATTTGTTGTGATGATATGGAATAAATTGTGTGTGTGTGTTGGGGGGGGGGGGGGTCATCATACATGTGTATTTTTGAGAGAAGGCTGGTACAACATACAGTACTTTTAGTGCTACACAAACTTAAAACCGCCTTCATTTTGAAAAATGAGCTCATTGTTCCTACTTTGATGGAATGGCCAAATATATTTCAACAGCTGGCAATCTTTATGTGGTCGTATAGTTATAGATCTATTTTTAAAATATTTTTTGTTGTTGTTGTTATTGGAAAGCTGGATGGAGGATATTTTCATATACAGGCCTGATAAAAACCCGATTTAAATCAGTTTCCAGATTTTTTCCTTATTTTTTCTCTTTTCTTCTCGACTATTATTTCCCAATTTGTCTTACTCAAAAGGGGGGAAATGTTGTTAGATGCCATTTTTCCCCCCGAATCCTTTTTTTTCTTTTTACTCAAGGGGGCGTGGTTTAGGAAAAAAAAAAATATTTTAGTGCTCACTATCACCAGACTATAAATGGCAGAATTGACCACACCCCCTGTTTTTCTCCTTTTTTTCTGTGTCCTTCAAGAATCTATTTCTATTTTTCTCTGTTGATTATATCCTTTCCTCTCTACGTCATCCTTTGCTCTCTATGTCATCCTTTCCTCTCTACGTCATTTGCTGTGATTACATTTTGTTTGTTTTTTGTTTCTATTTTTTCCATTGATTCGCCCTCTTTGTTAATTTATTGAGCACATTTAGATTTCTTTCGACCTCTTTTTCCCTCTACCTCTTCATGGCTGTTTGGGGAAATATTTTGGAGATGAATGAATATACTGTACATGTATATACTGTATGGATATTAATGATAATGTGTTTTACCTTTCTCTCTCTCTTTCTCTTTCCTTCTCTCCCATTTTCTTTTTCACCGCGTATCTCTCTATTTTGTTTTCTTCTGGTTTGGTATTCATTTGATCATAATGTTAATAATGTTGATGAGTATACACTGCACATGTTATGGTAAGGATTGCTATACTCTTTACCTTTTCGTTATTTTTGTCACTAAACAGTTTATCTCATGATATTTTCATCTTCACGGTTTTGTTATGCTCTTTTAAAGGTTGATTATAATCTATTTGTAAAAAGTGACCTTTTTAATGTAGCCTCTTTCTGACGAGTTAAAGCCATACAATACCTGCGTAGGCTTGTTATTATTTTACAAGTTAAGGAAGGTCACTCATTTTTATGCCTCCACCCACCAAAAGTGGTGCTGGAGGAAATATGTTTCCGGGTTGTTCAATCCGTATGTCCATTCGTCAGTTCATCCTGCTTTCTCATTATCATGATATCTCAAGAACCAGTGAGGTATGAACTTGAAACTCTGTGGTAGTATGTTGTACCATAGGAAGGTGATCTTATTAGCATTTGAAGTAAGTAGGTCAGAGGTCAGAGGTCATAGATGTCAATTTCAGATATTCAGGTTTCAGCCTCATTACCGTGATATGCCAAGAACAACTTGAGGTGTGAGCTTTAATTCTGGTGATAAAATACAGTGTAGGCTTTTGAGTAAAATGGTGCAAGGTTAAAGGTCATAGAGCCTAAAAGTTGGTCCATTTCTATGAAATCTCCCGGGTTTTACTTTTAGCCCCGTTATTGCGATGTCTTAGAAGGATTTTAAGCCATGAACTTCAAAATTTGTTTTAGTAAGACAAAGTGATTAAATTTTAGGTAAAAGAGGGTCAAACTTAATATCAAAGGTCAGCATGTCAATTTACATGAAATTCAAGGTTTGGTAACCTTGTAACTGCCAAATCAATGACTATTTAAAGTTATTTTAGCAGTGAATTTAAAACCCATAACTCGTATGCATCACTGAATGGAGAAAATGGAGAATTTTTTTGACTTGTTAGGTTAAGGTCAAAGGTCATGAAGATCAATTAGCACATGTACATGTACAATGTAAGAGTTTGCTTTTTTTCTCACCGTATTCCTAGAATATAGTCATGAACCTCACAGAATATAGGCTGAGGAATTTTGGAGACACAGTCACATTTTTCTACATGTAGTTATAGCTTTAAAACTTTCTATTATGTTGATATAATTTTAAGATTTGTGATTGGATTTGGTTTTTACTACATGTATGACCCCTCCCCTTTTCTCCAAACATCTTACATACATCTTTCTATCCAGTTGCAAGGTGTAGTTAACATGCAGAAGATTAGATTCAGCTGTGTCCAACGACCAATTCTCCCCCCCCCCCCCTCCAAATTTTTTCTTCCCACCACCACTGACGTACATGTACATGTGTGAACACTGCTGGAAGAATTTCCTCCACATCGAGAGATTGAATCATTTGTATGTGTACATTTTTCACGTTTGCAGCAGAAAGGTGTCTTTTTGCTATTTAAAGTGTACCAATTGCCAGAACATGTTTTTTGCTCTTGTAAGGGATTCCATGTTGCTATACTGTTTCCAACATACAGTATGAGCTTCCAAAATTACTTCTTCAAAGGATTGCATTTTAAAGATAAACTTGAGTTCTGGTAATGTGATTGCATTGTAAAAGAAAAGGTGTGGAATGGATCAGAAAAGTTGATCATATAGCATGTAAGTAATGGTGTGTAATGCAAGGTTCTGGAGTCATCAAAATCATCATAAATTTGGCAGAGTCTTGGTAAAGTAACAATCACTTACACAGAAAGATATATATGGGACAGTACACATGGTGTCGGGGCTAGTACTACCCTGATTTCCTTATCTTTCTATGCTCATTACTCATCCAGTATACATTTTCTTTCAAAATTGTTTGGCACATGACATTTATTTGTAATCTTTAACATTCAGTGTAAGTTTCGTTAGATTATGTGAGAATTCATTTTCTCTTTTTACCAGAACTCAAGTTCATCTTTAAATACACTTTCATTACATAAATATTTGTTGAGTATTAGTCAACAAACATGTAAGGTAAGGGTGCACACAGAAGCCAAGCTGGACTTGGGTTCTGTGCACAGGGTTTTATAGTATATTATCCTTTATTTTCTTTACATTGCTTTTACTAAAACAATTTTAGAATGCCAGGTTAATTGATTTTTATACATTTTAGCTACGTACATGTATACACCTGTACATACATTTAAAAAAAAAATTGGGGCAGGGGGATAAATAGTACACTTGAAATCCCACATTTATTTTTGGTGTTGATAAGCCCTGAGCAAAATCAGTTTGCCTTATTCGCTTGAGTTTAGTTCAGTTATTAATACAGTATGTTCATACCTTGTAACAGCTGCCTACATGTTTATTGCTATTAGTCGACAAAACAGGTGAAAAAATGATTTATGATCATTTGATTTCATTAAAAATTTATTATTTTTATGTTCATTCAGTTGGGAAGTGCCTGTCGGAAACCAGGTAGACATGTAATGGATTGCTATTAAATGACAATTTCCCAAGTTGTGAGTACCGCAAAAAATATATTATAAAGAGCGATTAACACATTGTTGAATTATAAGAAAAAAGCCAGAAAGAAGCTCTTGAACAAGGGGAAGGTCCCCATAAAGACATTGAATATTTGATACCTATATTTATATTAATTTTAGTTGATTTTTGTATTATTGTACCCATATTGTAAATTTTAAGAGAAGCCATCTTTGATAAGAGCTGACCTACAAATATACTACTATTTTGTGTATAGCATAGTTCTTTGATTTCAAATTGAATATATTTGTAGTTTTTGCAAAAGTATTTGGCGTGGGAATAATGGGACAGAAACAAACAACAAAAACAGGGGGGGGGGTGAGACAAATACAAAAAATACTTTAAATTTGTTGCTTGTGCTCTGCTTGGAAATTATAAGACACAAACAAACAAACAAACAAACAAGCAAACGAAAGGAAGAAATAGACAAATAAAAAGAAAATTTCCTTTAATTGTAGATTGTTTTTGTATACCGGTAGTACTGAGGAAAATTCAACATCACTGTTTGTTGTACACAACATTGATGGAAAAAAAATGTTAGTGTATACAACTGTACATGTACTGTACATACATGTATGTACATGTGTTATTATTCATTTTGTGTCTGTCACACAGTATATCAATAATTTACATGTACAGTATATATTAATTAAACTTCCCAGAGTATTGTTATGATTGTCTATTGTCATGGAAGTCGACTGGAATCAAAGTCTATTGTTATGAAAGTCTATTCAGTGTTAATGAGATGTGTCAAACAATGTATTATGACCTACATGTATCACTTAAAGGTGCAGATCCAGGGTTTTAGTAAAAGATGGGGCCAAGTAGTTATAACTTGCTGACAAGCAGACAAAAATAATATATGCTTTGAAAACCAATCTATGATATAAATATCAAATCATGAAACTTCTACTTTTTTTTTCAATTAACAGGACCGAAGAATTCAACAACCAGACTGAAGATGCAAGGTGGTAAGTTATTTCTTTCTGTTTTTATAATGTTTTATGAAACATGTTTAATTTATGGCAGATAATTAAATAGCAATCATCGCTACCCATATCCAAACTTTTAAACTCATGTATTGTTTTTGTATTCTTCAAATCATGTTATTGAATTTGATTAAAAAATGGAGGCATCTGAGGCGTATCGGACATCATTTTAGATTGATCTGTTATGTATTTTTTTTAAAGTAAATTGTCTGACTACTGAATTCTGTGATTCACTAATAAACTATTTGGTTCGTGTCGTTGGATTAGTATCGTCTCTTTTTTAGAAGAAGTAGTAGTAGAAGTAGTTGTAGTATCATCATTGTAAATTCTGTTATTCACAGTTCCTGTCATCGGGGTAGTAACTTAGTATTGCATTTTTTGTTTGTTCTTATTATCATTTTTCTTCTTCTTCTTCTTTTATTTCTTCTTCTTTTTCTTTTTTTTCTTCTTCTTCTTCTTCTCATTCTTCTTATTATGATTGTAATTTTTATCACTAATAATATATTTGTAGTTATTGATGTTATTATTTTCATTATTATCATCATCATCGTCATTGTTTGTTATAATTATCATTATTATTATCATTATCAATATTATCAACATCTTTATTATCATTATTATTCAATTGTGCATTTGCTTGTATTAAAGGATTGATGACTTCAAAGGAGAGCAAGAAACGAAAGATGAACTTGCACAAACAGCTACACAACTCCTGGGTTCCATGGATGACCCCAAGTTCCAGAGTTCAGAGGTGAGATCATCTGCTCCCATTCAGAAGAAAAACATCAAAAATCCATTTTTATAATTTAAACTTTATTTTTTGAATGAGCATAAAAAACAATGTCCTAATGTTGAAAATAGATTGAATACCTGTATGTTCAGTATTGGCGGAGATATGACCATCCGAATAAATAGATTTCAATAGGAAATCACTGTTATTTTGCTCTGGTTTGTAATGTTCATAGTTTTCTAAAGGTCATAGTGGCCTTCTACTCCTCAAATTGCCACCAATTATTTGTATTTTCCATTCTATCAAACCCCCAAAATTGTTTAATAGTATAGAGACTTGCTTTATATCCAGAAACTTGAGCAACATGAACATGTGTGAATAGGTAGTAACAATTTTAAGTTGTGGCAAGTAATTTTGTGAATTTCCAATAACTTGTGTCTTGACATATATTTTTTATGTAAATGTAAATCAATGCCTTTGAAGGCTCTTTCAGATATGGCACGATAAACCGCTGCAAAAAAAAAAAAACAGCCGCCGCTATTTTAAAATGTGTAGATGAATGGCCACTGCGCGCGACAAGGGGCTTGTGTGTATAAACTGAGCTCTGTGTTACAAATTTCATTAAATTAATGTATTTAGCGTTTCCATAAAAGAACCACTGCAGTTTTGCCACGTCGTATCTAAATGAGCCTCAAATGGAACTTTTGTTTAGTGGCATGAACTTTCCAGAATATCAACCATTCAGAATTCTTAAAGTGTCATGCACACCAAGGCTTCTAGTTTCGGGGCAAAGTATAGTTTCAAGATCCCTTTTGGCAATATTTGTACCAGTACCCCTCAAAAGTAGTAAATATATGCTATTCATTCATTTTTTTTTCCTGCTCTATTTTTAAATAATTTCACCGCAAAATTTATTAAATTCATTTGCTGCTACATCTTTTCATATATATATATACATTGTACATGTTGTCTTGTCAAAACATTGTAAACATACTAAAGAAATATAAATGTTCCATTTGTTGTTTTCCTGCATCTACATGACATGTAATCTGGAATGCTGTATAACTCAAATCTAAAAGTTTTGAAGAAAAATCTGAATGGCGATTACAAAATGTCAAAGAGACAAAACCCCTTGAATTTGATACCTATAGGTGCCATCAAAAATACACTGAGATCTATACATGTACACTGTTTCAAATGTCTAGTAAAACTGAGCCAACAATTTATGCTTAAAATAGCAAGGTTGTACACACAGTGTGTATTGCACTGACTCGTGTAGAATGCTATAAACCCCCCAAGCTGAATCCTATACCGGGTAATGGCTTTGCGATATCTGTTTTCAATCATAATATCCTGAAATCTGAAGGAATAATTGGCGTAGGAAGTTCTGAAGCAGTGTGGATCCACCAGCGAAAAAAGATACATGTACATGGGAGCATTGAGCTCTCAAAAACTCAAGAAGTGCTCTGATAAATTGAAAAAAAATCGAGCTCTGGTAAAAAAAACCTGATGAAATACTTCAGTATTACTGGGAGGACACCATACTTACACTACCAAATCCTAAAGGAGCTCCTGTGTGCAGAAATATATTTTTAACACTAGGCACCACTGTAGTTTATTGGTTAGGGCTGTTGACTGTACAGCTTAGAGTTTACTGTATATCCATGGACAAGGTGTTTTGCCCACATGTGTCCATCGAGAGTCAATGGACAAGGTGTTTTGCCCACATGTGTCCATCGAGAGTCAAGGCCCAGGTGTGGTACTGGGCTATCGGAAGTGCTGGGGTAATGATAATTGCAGGGCCCGCAGGAAGAGCAGTATGATGTGGCTACCCAGGTAGAATAAGACCAAATAAGTATAAAATAATTACATGTAGCATTATGACCTTTGTATGTACATGTACATGTACGTACATGTGTAATCGTTAGATTTAGGAAAACTGCACTCGTGGATTTTAATAGTGAATCCATACAAGATACTTAATACAGACTCCCTTTTTTAACTTAATCTTCTTTTTCAGTTTATGAAATTTATCAAGAAGTTGAGTGATGGTGACCTCACAGTAGATGGGAATGAGGTCCGAAATAAAGACGGGTCATCGGTCGATGCAACTGCAGAATCTTGGTCCTCAGAATTTACAAACCAGCAGGTGTGTGTAGCGCCCTCTAACAACAATAATTTACTCTTTATTTGCTGTAGATTGAAACTGTAGGCTGCCTGAACTTTATCCGGGATCTAAATCTGATCTGTTCTTTTGTATTTGAGGAATTGTAAATGTCGAACTCCCGCAAAAATATCTTTGAAAAGTAAAGTCCTAACAAAACCTCTTCATGGACTGGTACCTTTATAGAAATGTCAATGTGATCGTGGAAACTCTTGAACATGATTACATGTACATGAAGAACTATTTCAGTATGGATCTACATGTAGGTGTCTGAGCAAAACATGTGGCATGTCTCTTTTACAGCTTTCCAGCAAAGGAAAACAAAGTATTAATGCTCTTCCCATGGATAGAGAAATTGTCTGTTTGGAGCCAGAAGGGCATTAACTCATCTACTTACCACAGATTTAATGCCTTTCTGGCTCTGAACAGATGAAATTAAGATTGCCAAGTTGCCAGATGCATACCTTTTTATTTCTATTTATATTTTGAAGAGGCTTTACGCTCTGTGCTTTATTTGTATTCCATGCTTTTGCCAATTGCATTTACACATACTGTACAAAACATACAGTACATGTACCTGTAGATACTAACACATTTCCATCAATTTGATAGTACTTTTCTAATTACGGATTACAGTATTATGCTACATGTAGCTTCCTAACCATATTCAACATTCATTTTGTGCTTATTTCATTGCTCTATTTAAAGTCCCAAAATCTTCACCATGTTTTGGGGGGGTATTTTGTAATAGTTGAATTATTATGAATATGAGCAACAATTTTATGGATATTTTAAAGATATTTTTTTTTGGGGGGAGGGGTAATATTTCTCTACTGTTTGCTAATTTACTGAATGCTGTTTCTGTGGAATCTTTATCGTCATATGCCTTCATTCTGTCAGGAGTACACAGCAGAAGAGTGGGCACGGGATTTCGACCAGGAGAAGACGATGCCTGCCGACCAGGAATTCTGGGAAAAATTACAGAACGAGTGGGAGGAGATGGGCCAGAAAGAGACCGGAGATGCGCATCCTTGGTTGGACGAGTTTAACGCCGCTCAAACCAGTGACCAGGTACTACATGTCACCCATTGACTACTGACTTCTCTATAAATTCCCATAGGCTTAACACTTGGAACACTCGGTTGCAGTAGACAGTTGGTTAAACTTACTTTTTTCTTCTTCTTCTAATAATCTTCCAAGCGCTATGCAGCCCGGCTATCTAGATTATGAACTAAAGATTGCAAGGGATGTGAGGAATAGGATAAGGGTGTTCGATGCCTCTGGAGTAATCGTGGTAATTTTGTTGGACTGTCAGCATGCACTACACCATTCAGGGAAAGAGCATTGAGCAAATGCAAACTTATCTGTATTTCTCCTCTTCTGTGTTCATGATTTGTTATAGCAAAATAATTCTTCCGAAGAAGTGGCAAAGAGACCATTGACTGTATCATATGCACCGTTCCAAGTTACTTGCTTACCCCCTTGTAGATAGAGCTACAGGCCTTTGCAACGTGTTGATAATCTCAGTCACACTACAGATTCTTCTAATAAGTAGTTTGGGGAATTATGCAAATACATTTGTCCAGAGCACAAAAGGCGTACCATTTAGTGTTATCATTGAATGAAAAGATCTTTTTTGATATATCTGAATGATAGTTCAGATAATAGCCACCCTAATCAATGTACATGTAGCAGATGATAATAATAATAACAAACCGTACTTATATAGCGCATTTCACAATATGTCTCTTTGCGCTATAAGAAAGAGTAAGAAAGGAAGGTGGATAAAGTAACATGAGAAGAGTGAGGTATACCCAACATACCTCCTCTCATTAACATTGGAAAGTATTTTTGAAAAGAAATGTTTTTAGAGGCTTATTAAAGTTGTCAACAATACCACAACTTTTTTAGATTTTCTGGTAGTTTATTCCAAAGTTTGGCCGATGTATTTGTCAGAGCTCTTCATATGCTAATGACATGGTTCTTCCTCTGTGTTAACATCACCTCCGTGTAAAAGAAGACTTTGTCATCACTCAGGGTTTTGGGAGGTTTTTTAAGGGACAAGACTCCACTTTTGTTAATTTATGTGTATTTATGATTTCTTGCAGCCGTATTCTTTTGAGAGTGAGAATCACCTCTTCGATCATCCTTCCCCTTTCGAAGAAGGCCTCAAGAGATTAAAAGAGGGTGACCTTTCCAACGCTGTCCTTCTCTTCGAAGCCGAAGTCCAGAAGAACCCAGATCACATGGAAGTAAGTGCTTGCCTTGCTCTCAGTGGTGGGATCCTCTTTTGTTTGTTTCAGATTATAGTGATAGATGAAGGTTAAAAAGGCAATCAAGTTTTTTATTTGTCCCAAGCCATAAAAATTGGAAAGAAAAAGGCTTAAAGGCATCGTTTAACAATGTTAGATCTGAGATGCATGGCCCTACGTGTTATCAGTGTCTGTGATATTGTGTAATATTGAAGTCCTAAAAAAATTGTGCTTCAAAATGAACATGAAGTGCCTCAAAAAGTAAAAATCTTTGAGTGACCGGTTTTACCATACTCATTCCCCCAATATGTTGTAGTTTTATTAAAACCACTAGGAAAATGCAAAATGAAATTTTTGATCTCCAATCATACATATCTTAATAATCAGATAGGCGACTGACTGACTGACTGACTGACTGACTGACCTAAAGGTTTATAATAATCATTGCAGCATGAGCTAAATCCAGGATTTGTTTCAGAATCTGAGGCGATGTTACCGAGTCACTTTAAGGGACAAAATAGGAAATATACAATACAACTATTTATAGCATGATCAGTGGATAGGCGGGAATGAGCGTTGGTTGCAAATTGAGTCCATCAGATTGCTTTTTATGCCTCCGCCACCGAAGGTGGTGCCGGAGGCATCATGTTTTCGGGTTGTCCGTCCGTACGTCCGTACGTCCGTCCGTACGTCTGTACGTCCGTCCGTACGTCCGTACGTCCGTCCCGTTTGACCGTTATCACAATATCTCAAGAACCATTTAAGATTTAAACTTAAGACTCAGGAATAGTATTTATCACCATAGGAAGACGATCTGATTAGATTTTGGAGTACGTAGGTCAAAGGTCACAGGTCACAGAGGTCAACTTATGAAATTCCTTGTATTGAGTTTGTTAGCGCGATATCTCAAGAACCATTTGAGATTTAAACTTCAAACTTAAGGATAGTATGTATCACCATAGGAAGACGATCTGATTAGATTTTGGAGCACGTATGTCAAAGGTCAAGGGTCACAGAGGTCAACTTATGAAATTCCATACATTGAGATTGTTATCATGATATCTCAAGAACCACTGGAGATTTAAACTTCAAACTTAGTGATAGTGTGTATCACTATAGGAAAACAATCTGATTACATTTTGGAGCACGTAGGTCAAAGGTCAAGGGTCATAGAGGTCAACTTATGAAATTCCATACATTGAGATTGTTATCATGATATCTCAAGAACCACTGGAGATGTAAAAACTTCAAACTTAAGGATAGTATGTATCACCATAGGAAGACGATCTGATTAGATTTTGGAGCACGTATGTCAAAGGTCAAGGGTCACAGAGGTCAACTTATGAAATTCCATACATTGAGATTGTTATCATGATATCTCAAGAACCACTGGAGATTTAAACTTCAAACTTAGTGATAGTGTGTATCACTATAGGAAAACAATCTGATTACATTTTGGAGCACGTAGGTCAAAGGTCAAGGGTCATAGAGGTCAACTTATGAAATTCCATACATTGAGATTGTTATCATGATATCTCAAGAACCACTGGAGATGTAAAAACTTCAAACTTAAGGATAGTATGTATCACCATAGGAAGACGATCTGATTAGATTTTGGAGCACGTAAGTATCTCAAGAACCACTGGAGAATTTTCACTTCAAACTTAATGATAGTATGTATCACCATATCATAATATCTCAAGAACCACTGGAGATTTAAACTTCAAACTTAATGATAGTGTGTATCACCATAGGAAGACAATCTGATTAGATTTTGGAGCACGTAGGTCAAAGGTCAAGGGTCACAGAGGACAACTTATGAAATTCCATACATTGAGATTGTTATCATGATATCTCAAGAACCACTGGAGATTTAAACTCCAAACTTGTTTAAATTGCTCTATGGCGGACAGTGGCGGATCCAGGGGGGGGCCCGGGGGGCCCGGGCCCCCCCCCTTGAGAAAAAAATCATGTAAAATCACGTGATTTTTACCTTTTTTGGGGGTTGGGCCCCCCCCCCCTGGCGCTCAAGGGGGGGGTGCAAATTGAAAAAATTTTGAGGATCAAAAAAAAAAAATGCGATCACTACCCCCCCCCCCCCCCCCCCCCCCCCCCCCCCCCCCCCCCCCCCCCCCCCCCCCCCCCCCCCCCACTGAGCGAATTTTTGGCCGGCGCGTTTTTCAAATTTTCGGGAGCAAAAAAAAAAAAAAAAAAAAAAAAAAAAATTGAGGGTCAAAAAAAAAAAAAAAAAATTGCTCACTACCCCCCCCCCCCCCCCCCCCCCACTGAGCGACTTTTCGGCCGGCGCGATTTTCAAATTTTCGGGAGCAAAAAAAAAAAAAGTTGGGCCCCCTCCCCTAAGAAATCCTGGATCCGCGCCTGATGGCGGAGGCATCATTTTCGACTGCGCGCAGTCAAAATTCCATCTAGTTTTTATCATTGAAGAGTTATGATATTCTGTGGTATTTTTGTCTGCTTTTCATTTTATTATTGTTGCTGTTTGCTAATGTTTTTCTTTATTTATCCATCTTTCATTGAAAATAAGTTTATATTTGGTTTAAGGACACACCCTTAATTATTGATGACGTGCAGACTTGCAGAGTTTTTCTGGCTCAATGTAATAGAGTATTTTTTGTATCTCTGTACAGGCTGCCTCCCTTTTTTGTTCTCCCTTCAATCTTCCAGCTAATGAAACCCTAAAACCTGTGTTATTAAATTTGAAAACAATTATATATAGATTAATTTTCAAGCTTCAAATTTTGAAGTACCAATCATTTCTTTAATTTTGAAATTGTAAATCTAAATCAGGTGTGACATATAATACGCCCTGCCCAATAATAGCAACCAATAATAGTGTCGTGGGTAGCGAGGACAGGAGATCGAGAGAGAGGAGTCAGAGGCAAACGATGCGGTTGCAGTTGATCATTTATTAAATCAAAACAAAAAACCCTGCAAAGACAGAAAACAACAATCAATCAGTTCATTGTAATATATATATATATATATATATATCAATTATATTGATACATTGTAATACATGGCAATTAGTATGCATTATATTGTACTATTGAAAACCTATCTATTATTATAATCATATTAAAATTTAAGTGAAAATGGAACATAATTTATAAGCGATTTCCCCAAAATCATATCAAATCCTCAGCTAACAATACAAGTTATTCATTAGCACCCTACATCTGTCCTCAAATCACAGATAATAATGAATTAATTGTATATCTCGAGAACATCGTAACCTCAAATGTGACATGCAAATCCTCCAATTTGCCCCTCAATAGCTACTTCCTCGTTATCCTCTGATAACACTCGTTATCTTGCAATTGCAAGAGCAAAATTAATTTCAAAGAATAAATTATAACTCCAATCCCTACTATAAACTCCAGAACTTGCATTTAATGAGTCACAAGTACTTAATAAATCCAAACTGAATTAAATGGATGTATGGGTATGTGTGTATAATTATTCATAATTGCCTATTAATTACAACTTATCATATCATTAATAATACATTTATAACTATGATTATCAATTTAATAGCATAACAAAACTTGGTTGAACTTTTACATTGTTCATACTTCATATCCAATTTGGAATATCAGACAAAAATTAAGATTTCAGTACATTCCTTCGTCTGAAGCAAAAGGCTGTAGCATTAAAACATGATTAAAAAATATCATTACGTCCATCTATAATTCTACAGGAAAACTGTTACATATGATATCCAAAAGTACAATTACATGAAAAATATCAAGTTAATGCTTACCCAGGTTCAACAACCCCGATCACTCAAGCAGACCCAAAGCAGAGCATGAGTGAACACATGACTCGGCCACAACCGACAGGCAGGCAGCTAAATAAATTAAAGCAAAGTGATATTACAATCCTGAACTGCATTGTCATATTATCTAAACAATTGAGTAACAAATAGTATTAGTAAGCAAACTAAAGACATAATATTGATAATAAAAATAAGTTTGTTGACAATAATAGATAGCCTCTGTTAACTTAAAATGATTTTTGTTTTCTTTTTCAGGCATGGCAATATCTTGGTACAACTCAAGCAGAAAATGAGCAGGAACAAGCCGCAATATCCGCCCTAAGAAAGTAAGATATACAGGGAATAATTTTCCTGGTATCGCATCGCAATTTGCTATGCATTTTTGCATGACTGCTATACATAATATCTTTTGTGTAGCAGTTTTCTTCCATAGAAATGTACAGAATTTCACTTGAAATATTTATCCATCAGCTGAAATTGCTAATCAAAAAATTTGAGGAAAATTATTCCCTGATATATGTATTCCATTTCTTAAAGGGGAAGTCACACCCTGATATTTAGTTGGGTTTTAATGGAAGCAGAAAAATGAGAGGAACACGTCAGTGAAAGTTTGAGCAAATTCAGATTGAAAACAAGAAAGTTATGAATCTTTGAAGTTGTGATCAGTCAAACACAAATTGGCAACTCTGTGACTAAATCTTGCTATTAAATTGCATTCCTTGTGACTATTTCAGATGTTTAGAATTAAGTCCAGTCAACTCTTCTGCCCTCATGGCCCTGGCGGTCAGCTACACCAACGAGGCCATGCAAAACAAAGCTCTAGATGTGCTCAAACAATGGCTCTCCTCAAATTCAAAGTACTCAAGTCTCGTCAATCCGGCGGGAGGTGGTCTGGATGGTGCAACAGCCGCCAATCAGGAGATCTCATCACCAATGATGTCATTGTAAGTCAAATAACTCAAAGGGGACCAATCACAAAAAATATATATTCCATATCGGTGTATATACAGTGTACCATATTCAAAATATCAAAGAAGAAATACTAAACTTTGTGTCTTAAGTTTTGCTAGTGAAACAATATGAGACTGCTTTCAAAAATCTTTATTCCCATATTTCCTTTTTGCCAGCAGTTTATTTTAACATTTCTTTGTGATTAATCATATACATGTACATGTAAGTACATGTAGTGCAGCATACAAGATTCTCAGGTTCCTCTGTGATGAGTTTGGGGACCCATATACAAGTGTTATTAAACAGTAAAATTTTTCAAAACAATGAACTTCCAAATATCTGGCACATGTATATTATGAGGCTAAAATCAACAACAACAACAACATAATTTCAGATTCCATTTGCCACTAGATCTAGGTGTTGTCTTTAACAATTCCTTATAATTCCTCATCACATAGATCACTGCACAAAAATGTCCAAGACCTGTACATAGAGGCAGCTAGAATGGCACCGGAATCTGTGGACGCTGACGTCCAGAACGGTTTAGGGGTTCTCTTCAATCTTTCTCAGGAGTACGATAAAGCTGTCGACTGCTTCAAGACTGCCCTCTCAGCCAGCCCGGAGGTATGATACATGTACATGTAGTTACAGTGAAACCTGTTTATAAAGACCATTCAAGGATGACAAGAAAAGCAGTCTTTATAGGCAGGTGATCTTTATGTACAGGTTCTTTTAGTTTAAGTATTGGGTTAATTCTATCTAGAGAAATTCTATTCAAGGGAAAATAAAATGTGGTTTCTATTTATAGACAAGTGGTCTTTCAATACAGGTTTGACTGTGTACAGGTAGTGGGATTGTTCTACAATCTCACCAAGCTCTCAAGTTAGGTTTGTTTGGATGCGATCTGCCCCTGAAACTCTTAACCCCCTAAAAATGATATTTGTATTCTATTGGTCCGTCATCCAGGGAGGAGAGGATCACCCCCCCCCCACACACACACACACACCCACACCCTGTCTTAGCCATGGAGTAACAGAGAATTCTGAAACTTCGCATACGGGTAGGGTATCTTTATTCTATCATAGGCCATAGAATAATGAAAGCTTGTGTCAGAAGAAAAATAAATATCCTTGAGCATATCGCAGTGCCCCTAAAAAGGCATCCGAGAATACAACACCTTAAAGAGAAGGTTGAATTCTGGGAAGAGGTGAAAAATAATTTGTGAGTGTTATCATTGTATTATGCAAGTGTGAAAGAACATCAGATAAAAAATGTTCCCCAAAAAGCATGGCTCTTCAAATGCCTTAATATTCTAAATATGGCATGTAATATCAGGACAGATTTTTATGCCACATGTTCGTGATGTCCCATATACATCTTTCTGTGTACAGTGCTTGTAACTTTACTAAGACTGGGCGAAATTTCATTTTGATGATTCCAGAACCTTGCAGTACACACCAATACATATTTGCTAGATGATCAACCTTTCTTTCACAATGGATGACCAGAACTCAACTTTATCTTTAAATGTAACCCAACCCAGCTCCTACAGGTTGTAATAAAATAAAAAAAATCATCTGTATTTCTGTTGGCCTTGATGTACTATTTAGGCATTGTAAAAATGTCAAATCACGACTGCTACCTTGAATCTCCTGCTTTTCTCCTCTTTCTAGGATGCATTGCTATGGAATCGCCTAGGAGCCACTCTTGCCAACAGCGGCCGGAGCGAGGAGGCTGTGGATGCCTATCACAGATCGCTGGAGATCTCCCCAGGGTTCGTCCGATCAAGATACAATCTTGGCATCAGCTGCGTCAACCTAGGAGCTCACAAGTGAGTATGTCACGGTGAAAAGGACTTCTGGTTCAATCACAGCTTTGATTGGATCCATTTCTTTGGAGGAAAAGGAAATACCCTTTGGGAATTTTTGAATACTTATTTTGTTTTTGTTCTCGGAGCAATGTTTTTCATTGTCTTTCAATGTCTTTTCCAGAGCTATGAGTTTTACACAGGGGAATCAGTCCCCACTTCGCTGCTTGGTTTTATCTTCTACCTTGTGTGAGATCTCCCTTTTTATCATGGATTTCCACCGATTCCTCAGGCGCATCACCAAACTGACCCTACACTGTCCTCAAACCTATTCTCGGCCATTAGGAGTAATGTGTTATTTTGCCTGGTCTGTTGTTGGTCTTGTGTCGGTCTCATTGGTATGTCTGAGATATTAAAGTGTACCAATCACCTGATAAAATAGTTGGTGTATCGTCAGAATGTATAAAATCAACCTCAAAAAGCTTTACCTGGCATTCTTTCAGTAAATGGTTAAGGACTATAAGGAAAATATAGGATATATTTAAACCCTGTGTATAGGGCTCACACGATACCCAAGTCCGGCCTGAGTTCTGTGCAAGCCTATTCTGTGCGACTGCGAGTGCTTGATTGAAGGATTTTATTGTATATTATCCATTCTCGCAGTCCAAAGACTGTATTGCAATGGTTACAACAGTTTACAACATGATAAAAGCAATTATACAACACTTATGAAAACAGTCTAGGCAATCAACATTGAATTTCAAATAAAATTGTGCTTTGTGTGCGTTAACTAGTCTTCTCAACAAGAAAACAGTAGGCCAATGCTTTTAAGTTTTCCTTTATTTTTGTTTTTTGTCCCAGGCAAGCAGTTGAGCACTTCCTTCAAGCCCTGAACCTCCAGCGTAGCGGTCAAGGCCCGCAGGGTCAGAAGTCTCAAATGTCAGAGAATATCTGGAGTACCCTACGCATGGCCATTTCTCTCATGGGGAAGGTCAAACTGTACGACGCTGCGGACAAACGTGACCTAGACCTACTCAACAATGAGTTCAGCGTTTCAAAGTGACTGGAGCCACGCTCTTATCAGCAGCCCTTTGCTCGAGGTAAACTTCAAGTTCAAGTTTAAGTTTTTATTGTTTCACATTTTACCAAAAATATAGACATACATATAAAATGAAAAATTATATGATACAATTGTAGTAATAATAATAATGGTGGCTTCTTATATAGCGCACATGTCCATCACGATGTGACGCTCCTGGTGCTGCCCCGATTATTACCTTGGCTTTAGCAAGGCAGTCACTGCGGCGCTCTGGTATTTCAAGGAATTAATTCCTGTCAGGTACCCATTTACATCACCTGGGCTGAGTGTGGCAAATATAGATCAATGTCTTGCCAAAGGACATTAGTGCCGTATAAATAACAGTTAGTCAAAAACTTTTTTTTTCTTCTTTCTCTCTTACATATTGATTTATTTCGTTAATTGACGTCAAAATAATAAAGTTATAAGGGCATGGTTTAATAACAATATCCTTTAAATTTTGTTTGAGTCTTGAGGAATATATTTTTTGGTCAATTTCTTCATTTTTTTTCTTTTTGGTTGCTCACCTTCATGTATAACACAATTCAGTTGACTTCATTTGACATACATTTGTATACTCTCAAAGTCTTTGAATGTCCAATTTACATTATCTTTTCGCGCTTAAAAACACCAGTATTAAGCGCCTAATAAATGTTGTGTATTATTATTATTTATTATTTTTCAGAACAAAAGACAACCCTCAAGGAGAGGATCCATGATTGGCGGAGGTGCTGTCATCGCTATGAATGCATCCACGCCGACTGTGTAAGGACAAGAGTTCCTGGACTTAGCTGGTGGCCATAATCAACAACAGTTAAACCTGCACATACATGCAAAGATCCTTTAAAGGGACTTGGTAACATTGTTCAGATGACAGGAACTGGTGCTAAGGGAGTGACTGCAATGCTAAATAGACAAGTAAAGATAATCTGAAAGTTTGGACGAAAACAGACCATAATTTAATTAAATTGGCTATATATATACCATTCAAAACATTGCATAAATATCCTGCTGGCTCTGAACAGACAGATACATTGTAAATGAAAGGTTCACAAAATGCATTCAGGTATTATTTAATTACCATACAGTGTTGACCTCGAAAACAACTACCGTTTTTATAGTAGAGAAATAAGTCCAATGTTTGCCGAGATGCTGTTCAGAATTCTACTGCTCAGGGATGCCAGTTTTCAGGCAATAGCCTTAATTCAGGCCCTAGTGAGTTTTTTTTTTTCAGACCATAGTTTCGGCTTTTTTGTGTACAAAATAGCTCATTCTAGGTGATTTTCAGGCCCTCTGATCAATTCTAACTTGCATCCCTGACTACTGCTTTAATAAAATGAAAAAATTGTATTCAAATGTACATCATCATTTAACCTCAAGCGCATTTCCTTACTCTCTTTACTTGTCATGAATTTTTTGAGGATGTTTGATATTCAAGTATTCTGTACTCATCATTCAGGGGCTAAAATCAAACGATTTATGAAATGAACAGTATTGTACATGCATCATGTGTATAAAGGTTTCATGTATGTGCATAGAATTCATCATCATTAGAAGAAACTGTCTTTTATATCATGCAGTCTATGCAGATTTTAAGCAATGCACTTTATTTTGAAGCCCTGAATTGAAATTTCATTTAGACGTTTGAATAAAAATATTTACAATTGTATGCATACTTCTCTGTAATTATAATCAGGAATAATCAACTCCCCCCCCCCCCCCTTCCCTGAAAAAAAAGGTGATAAAAAAAATCATTGGGGAAAAAAAGATTAATCAATCAAATTAGATTCAGATATGGGTTCATTTAGATATGGTTTCTTTCAAATATGAGTTGTATCTCATGAACTGTCATGAATAAGTTAGTAGGCTTGGATAACATATTTGTATTCACGGTAAACATCAAATTGATTCTGAGCTAGAAGAGCGTGGGGAAGAGAGAAAATCCCCAGAAACTAAAAGTCACAAGGCTTTATCCGTCAGCTGACTATATCTTGATATACATATGTAGAGGAAAAGGACATGATTATGGATGAATAATTCTATAATTCCTTGATCTTGCCAAACTTTAATTGTAGTTTTTGGCCGTCTTCCAGAAGGGAAGATGCCTACGGTGCAATTATTTTAATTTTAGTGTTAGTTTTTTGCTTTTGATTATGTAATCATTCACCAATATCTCTTTGTTGAGTCAATTAATTCTGCCAAGTTTCTCAAAAAATATATATCTTTCAGTGAAACTAAGATTATAGATATTGCATTATATGTTTTTAGTGTACATAATACCGTACTATATTGTTTAGAGTTCATTAATGTATGCAGAGGTGCTTAATTTTCCCTCCTTGCATTTGCATGCTGATGCTGCCTTGATGTGATATATCTCCAGCTTTTTTGTTTTTGATTTTGTTTGTAATTAAAGAGACAATATTTTCTTCACCCAAATTTTCTGAGGAAAAATTACTTTCTCATAATTTCACTCCAAATTCCTGCTTCTCATTTTGTTGGATCTCAACATGTGCATGCATGGAATACTTAAAAAAAAAAATTGATAATGGCTTGATGTTACAAATGAATATAAAAACTTGACTGTAAGATGCACAAAGCCGGGCTTCCATTATTTGTGTTAGAAGTAATAAGCTTTTTAAGCCGGTTTGTCGAATCATGGAAAGGAAGTGAAAAGTTTAAGAAATTCTTTAAATTTGCCAAAGAAGAGTATGTGTGGAAGAAATGGGATTTTAGAAGGTACATGTACTACATATATGTCTTTACATTATTATTTTTTTGTTTGTTTAAATATTTCAGTTTTATCCATTTAAATATACATTGTAAGTAATTGCATGAATACAAGTATGCAACATATCAGGCATTTACATGTGACTTGTGAACTTTCTAAAAGCTTAATTTAAGCGGAGTTATACATTTTAAAAAACTGTATTGATGCAGTTGTACTTTATATGTATTACGTCCTCTTGTGTTTCTAGCACAGGTACAAGTATATGGTGCCATATATTTCTTGTGTGCAAATATTTTTTTTTCCATTGCCTAGATCATACGCAGGTTACGATTTTCTCTAATTCTTATGAGTCCTATTAAGTAATGAAGGTAGGCAAATTTGAAATTATTTGGAAATTAGAGAAATGAAAGAGAAATGATGGTACAAAACCTGCTGATAGTGATTTTCCCCCATTTGTTTCATATTGTAGTCCCATCATCCATAACTTGAACTACCGAGTACTGGGCATTTAAACTGTTTTTTACACACGTTACAATATACGCTTTTTATTTGAAAGGTAATTCACCAATTGGTATTATGCTTAGAAAATTTAAATTCAACAAAGTGTATGCAGAGTCTGTGCTTGTTGAAATTGCCATTAATTAAATTGTGCAAGTGCTATAATAATCTATGAGTTTGATATAAGAATACAGCACATTTTTATAGTATGTTTAATTTTCCCTGAATTTCCTTGTTCCTTTGTTTTTCTTGACGCTCAAATTCTAATGCACAGAGTCTTTCCCCTCTCTATGTCTGTCTCTGAATCTCTCTATGTTCCTGTCCTGTCTCCATCTATGTTCTTTCTCTCTTCCTCCCTCCCTCTTACTTCTTCTCTCCATCTCTCACTCCCTCTCTCTCTTGATCTCACTTTATCCACACTGGTGTATTCGTCCTGTTATTGTATTATTTTTTGGTATTGTACTGTATTTTCAATGATATTGTGTAACTATTATGGCTTTTGGGAGCTGGAAGATAATATATTCATCAAATAAATTTGATTTGGAATAGAAACCAACTCTACTGGCGTTTTCATTATGTAAATATTTGAACAGAGGTTTAATATTGTTCAAATTTTATGATGGAATTGACATATATAATCTCCATCTATAAAGCAATAGTGATTGCATTATCAGGGATGATTTCAATATTTGTTTCTCTCTTTACATGGTCTGAGAAAAAAGGGCACTCTGGTTCCTAATGTTATGAGCCAGAGCATATAACACTTGAGTTCCCATAGGAAATGTATTTATTCAGATGGTCATATCTCAGCCAATACTTAATATATTCAATTGGTTTTCGGCATTCAGACATTATTTTTGATGCTCTTTCGGAAAATGAAGATAAAATTGAGAAATTCTAAAAATACATTGACGTCACACTTCACCACTCTGTACACTATATACAAAGGAAAATGAAAAAGAGACAGGAACAGCTAGAATTTTAACATACACAAATGTTCACTTTTATTATTGCAATTTCTGTACAATGACAAATGTCGTACACATCAATCAATCTAATATGAATACTGTGATATTCTTGGACATTACACCCTCTCTTTAAATTATTCTTTGAAGGAATTTACATTGATACTTTTCTACAAAATTATCCCAAGTTCCTTTTTTTTAATAATGAGGGATATTCACTTGACGTTGAGACTTGTTTTTGATGATTCAAAATACATGTACATGAGAGTTTAAAACTTTGGTTGCTTGTTCCTCTTCTGCAGCCAAATGATAGGGGGGTAATTTGACCCCTGCCCCCTCCTCGTCGAAACTTGCTCTCAAAGAGCCCAGACAAAATAGGGTTAAGTCTATGGGAATGAGAGATTCCAGTAGTCAATGGGTTTAACTCAAGGCATACATCAAATAAGTATATCGAGGGTTCAGTGACACAAAGTCATAACTCCATATTTTGCCAAAATGAATATTTGATATCAAAATGTTCAGATAAATGTGGGCTTTCCAGGAAACACAAAGACTTAACTCCACCCAACACCCCATTGAAGTCAGTGGCTAATGAAACATACTTCACTCCTTAAGGCCCAAGTGGTCAGTGACACATAAACCACTTTTTCTAAAAATGGATAAAATGGAGAACGCCTTTGTGTCACTGACCCCTCGATATGTCTCATTGTAAACCCGCACCAGAGGAGGCAGAGGGTTTCATGGGGTAACAACTCCTGTCAAAAGCATGGGGCTAATTTGTCCTGAGGTCCATGACAGTAGTCCATACATCGTTCCGGCATTTAAGAATGTTCACTTGTTCTCCCAGACTTCAGAATCGGGGAATCGCTGTTTCAGTTTCAGGAGGTGACTCCTCTTTCTCCTCCTCTCCCTTCCGCCACGTTTCAGCTCCTGCTCGTAGTGTTGGGACAGGTAACGTCCGAAGAACGGATCGTACCACTTCCGCTTAGTAGCCCACTGCAGATAGAGATGTGAGAAAAGTAAGACGGATCGAGGTTGTCAATTCGCTTACAAATGATACTGTAATATGTGATCTTATACATTGACTCAATGATACATGCTATAAACACATACACACAGTTAATGTACACTGTGGTGTGTGGGTTCTTCTATACCCAACATAACGAGGCATGCTGGATTGAAACCTAACTCTGATGTTTCTCTATGTGTCTTCATTTGAGAACTAATCATACAGCTAAACAACCCCACATTATATGGTGGTAGCGGTGGGATGAAACTAGATATTTATATAGTACACATATCCACCACGTAAGGTGCTCAAGGCTCTGAAATTTTACCCTGGCTCTGCTAGGCTACCTTATCAGTGCTCACGGCATTCAAGGAATTCCTTCCTGTCGGTACCCATTTAATGACTGGGTGGAGAGTGGCAAATGTAGATTACTGTCTTCCCAAAGGACATTAGAGCCACGACGGGACTCGAGCAGCCAAGCCTGTTATTGTCAGTCCTACAACGTAATCACTAGATCACACCACCTCTAACTAATTCATTATTGGATTGTATTCAATAGTAGCCTGTCTAATTACATGTAAATACCACTTAAGATCTAATGACAGATTTCTGCTAATATTGAACTCATGATGAGCCAGTGAAACAACTGAGCAATTTTGTATTAACTGCTAAAGACTCTAAAGATCAGTTTGGTACCAATTTAAACAAATCCTCATTACTATCTACAGAAAAGGACAATTTCTTTAATTTTTTTGATTTATGAATTTGTTTTCCTTCATCAGTCAATGTCTTGCCAATTTTAATATCATATCACTTATTTCCCTATGAAATTCATTTGCATTGGGATGTATCATAATGCAAAGAGTGGGCACAAGCTGTGCGGAAAATGATTGATCTGTCAATATGCATGTACTGTATTAATTAAGACCAGAAACTTTGACAAATTCTAAATATTATGTGTTGTGTCAATTGTGATTTAAATGTTTTGTGGCATGAAACTCACAACATATCATGCACACTAAAGCTAAATCTTTTGGTTTTACAGTAGTATATATGAATCTTTCCAGTTTCTGAAATGAAAGTTGATGTACCAAACTACACAAAATAGAACTTTATCCTTGTTGGTTGCGAAAACTTACCAGTTTGTTCATGTACTTTGGCACCTTGTATTCCCTTGGCTTGACGTATCTCTTGTAGCCGAAGGGGGTGTACTGCCATTCCCCTGGGTGCTCCTCTTTGTGACCCGTCTTGAGTTCCGTCAAGGCTTCCTGTCTTTCCTTCAGAACATCCTTGAGGTTCTCCATGGAGACTGCCACCTAATGCCACCACAACAACATGAACGCAACTCAATAGGAGGTTTTAAGGAAAGCTATCCCCTTAGACCTTCACCCCAAGAAAGCTTCAGGGACTCCCTAATTTAGAAAATCCCCCCCCCACACCTTATTCATTAAAGCAGGCGGACCACTTGAGCCCTCTTTATAGCAAACAATGCCTAAGCGGTACTCGTTGGTCCCCCATGATCCCTTTTTCTTATGTTAATTGAGAGCTGATTTGATGAGATAACCACCTGTCAGTGACCATGCAGGGAGGTTTAATCCCTCCTGGCCAAACTAGTGCAGATAGGCTTTAAATAGATAGGTACATTCAGTTGTCTGAGCGTAAATGGGTAATACTATAAGAAGCTTGTAATCAGAGAGGGGTGGTTGTGTGATAGTCCAGAGGGTTAGTCATCTTGAAGGTATTCCAATACTTCTGATGATTTCTTGCGATGTACTTGCAATGCTATTATCAATATTAACTACATCTGTTCATATCAACTCTCTATAAATGTTTTGAAGCTTTACAGATTTCCTTAATATTGTATATACCTCCCATTATTAACCCACTGTCTACAGGAACCAGAACTTTGGACTCTGTAAATAGCCTATGCGGATTCGAGAATTCAGTACCGGTAGTCAGCGGGTTAAACTATGTTTGTCATTATCATGCACCCCAAGTCTTCCATGCATACCTTTTCGATTCTTTCAGGATTGGGAAGAAATTTGTCCTGCCTGTCTGCCTCAGCTTGCATGGTCAACAGCAAGTTCTTCTCTTTCAGGAGGACATACCATAGCTTGTGTAGCGTCACATAGTCCTTCAGTCTCAACTCATCTTTGCTCCATGCTCTACCTGCAATGCACGATATTATACCACAATTCATTGTCTGATCTCAATCCTGACCAGAGGGGCGTTTCACAAAACTTGTCATTTGTGACAAAATGACAGTTTTTGTATTAATACGCTACTGATATCCTGGCTTAGATTGGTTATCAGCAGGCACTTAGCCACTAGGGGGCACATTCCCCCCCCAAATTTCCAGGATCGGTTGAACTTTTTTAGACCCCTTTTTTTTAACCTCGATCGATTACATGTATGTGCCCCCCAAACATCAAACTCTGGCTACGTGCCTGGTTATCAGCAGATTTGCCACTGATTTTTGTCATTTGTCATTGAAAAAAGGCTTTGTGAAACACCCTCCTGGGCCGTGTTTCATGAAATTTGTTACCAATAACAAATGGTAAATTCTATGACAAATCTCCTCTCAGCAAATCACATGCCACTATTTCAGTAGCTTATAAAAGTTTAATTGTAACTTGTTATTGATAAGAAGCTTTATAAAACAGGGCCCGATCTCGATACTGACCAGCAGTAGGTCAAATAAAAAAGGAACCTGCCACAACATTGAAAGGTAACACTTTACAACAATAAAATTCATAAAAGCCTATTAATATTACTCTCAGTTCAAACCCATACAATAATGAGACTTAGTCGACTGATTTATTCAAAATGTCCAACTGTTTATCCTGTGAAAAGAAGAGTACCGTAAATCTCTGTGTAAAAGACGCACCTGTGTATAAGAAGCGCCCTACTTTTAGGGCCAAGATTTTGCTTTTTTGCCAACACCGAAGGCAGCAAGCCACATCAGATAGCGTCTTATTTCAGCATTCAGTAACTGTAAGGTACGTTCGGAAACCCAAGCCATTCAGGGAAGGACTTAAATATATTACGAGGCGCAGTTGAAGTACTTGTGAACTTGTCACAAATAATAGTAACAATGTTCCCTTCCAAGATCAAGTTCTCTAGAGACCGAAACCTTATTGGCCCAAATTCACAAGAGATGTTTTAATTTAACCCATGGTTTAAACCTTCATTTACATAACCCATGGTCTAGAATGAGCGCAAAATAAGCGTGACACCGTCAGTGGTCCAATATTAGACGCGTGCAAGGCAAGGTACGCTTATTTTTCGCTAATTCTTAAACCATGGGTTATGTAAATGAGAGTTTAAACCATGGGTTAAGTTAAACCTCCTTTGTGAATTTGGGCCATCGAGTTTAAGTTATCGTCTAGGATTGTACGTTTTGAGATTAATATGCAGTAACAGAACTTACAGCAGTATACATAATGCAACTGACACCTGATCTCACATGACTTTTTGAGTGTATTAGCAGTTTTTTAAGTCGGGTCTCAAGCAGTTTTCTCAAGACCTTGAGGTTAGAGACCGAGCCCTAGAGTGACCAAGATCGAAACTAAGACTTCTAGGTCAGATACCAAGACCTACAGAACTGTCTACAATAACCTAACATACTGTGTAAGTGCATTCAATCCAACTTACCAGACTTGACATTAGGTTGTCCCCAGTTCTTTGGGTCATCAAAAAACTCCTCAAGTCCTCTGGTTGTCTTGGTTGAATGGAAGGATGAAGCAAGAGGGGGCGGGGCAGCTACCCAAGGATGCTGCGGGCATCTCTTCTGAGTGGACAAGAGCTGATGGCTGAAAAGAAATTAGTTGAAAGACATCTCAAGTTATTCTGACACAAAACCTAAATGCTTTGGTGCCCAGTGCCAACCACCCTCGCTATATCGCTGCCTGCTATTAGCGAACCTAACCACTCCAGCTAAGCATAGAGAGAGTCAAAGCTAATGCGTATTGACCTCTAGCACTGCACTACGTCATTTGAATACATGAATAGTCAATACACTCACAACACACAAATGCACACAATCATGCCGATGCGGCTGATTGAAAAGTTTGACAGTAGACCCACAGTCAGTTTGAATTTTTAAATTATTCTTCCTAACATCGGAAAGTTGAAAAAATTGTATTTTACTGCTAATGTGAAGTGTCATCAATCGTCACTAAACTAAAGTACCGATTTTGAAATGAAATGTTGATAATCAATAGCGCAGCTTTTAATACACAGCCAGGATAGTAATTGAAGATATGTGTGAACCTAACCAAGTCCAAGTTTGGGTAAAATAAAACTTGCCAAACTCTGCCGAACCAGAATATTGCGCCAGAGTTACAGCACTACAGCCCCCCTCCCCCAAATTGCTTTTATATATGTATTTTGTATCTGTTGATTTCTTGAGGAGAAATAAATGAAACTGAAAACTGAACCTGAGAATTTCTTCAACTTCAAAACAACTTACACTGCACGCGCAAACTACTTACTTGAAAGTAATAGAGTGGGACTGAAATGTTGTTCATGAATTAAAGTTATCAATTTTACTCACCATGCTGATGAACCCAATAGTGAACACTTAACGTCCTGAGAAATAGTTTTGGATTGCTGGTTATTTAGTGGTATGCGCAATTCAATGCCCCGTAGGGAGTTTGAAATATTTACAAGACTGGTCACGATGCGATTTTTCAGCCTGTAGGCCGCCATTTTGATAATGTGAACTACTAATATTGTAGCGACAGAGGGCGCAAAGCCTATTTAGCTTACCGTATAATGTTGTGAAGTATATTACCGTCACTTTTTCCTTGGAATTGTAGCACAATTTTGTACACTCGATTGAATGTGTACTAGGCCTATATTAGTTTGGATACTTATGGAAAATATTTTTAAAATATGTATGTGTTTATAATGTATGAGACAATGTTTACTACATGTATGTTTATACTGTAAGAACAATTGTGTTCCTATTCATCATTTTGTATTATGAAAATCTGAATAAAGGCAAAAAAGCTTTAAAAGAAAATACCGTAAAGTGTATCATTTTTATTTCTAGAAAACAAGGAACTCTGCCATCTATTATGCTGAAAGATTAGGCCTTAAATAAAAACATGTTGTATTGCCCTTTGGGTGGCATTACATGGGATTTTTTTTTTAAAACTTTTTTTTGTCGCCCTATCTTTGGGCCGATATTTTTCAGTTTTGAATGTTGTTTTTTTTCTTTTCCCCCCCGCCCTCTTTTAGCTGATATTTCTCAGTTTGTAATGCGTCATCATTCCATTCATATCTTTTTCACCTCATAATAATCCATGGTTTGCAGTGTTGTGTTGATCGAGATGTAATTTACGCTAGTAGGATTTTGAAACTAGGGCAGAAGACGAGTGAGAACTTTTTGGGAATGATTTGATTTTATGCATTTATATCCCATTTATCCCAACAAACAAAATACATATTTTTTTATTCATTAATGAAAACTAAAAAACGGTTAAAAAAAAAATGCCGACCTTAGATTTTCAGATTTTTGGATCGGTCGCACAGGGCAATACAATAAATTTTATTTTTAGGCCTTACAGAGACGAGGAATACAAAATGGCCTTCAAAAAGGGAAAACTGGGGATGCACTTACAGAAATGGAAACAAATCAATGCATTTTTGCTTTATGGATGTGTTTTTTAAAATGTTATTTCTCTCTCTTGTACAGGTGGACAAACCGGAACAGGTTGCATGCAGTGTGTGTGTGTGTGTAAGTGTGAAGGGGGGGGGGGTGGGGTGTGAGGTGGGTGGGCTAGAGGGGGGGGGGGTGGGGGCCATGATGTCATGAGTTTGTGTGGTGCGAGTTGAGGGTGTGTGAGTGTGTAATTGGGTGGGACTATGTAAAATTCATACCTTCCTCTATGGTTATTTTGATTATGAACTGACATGTTAAAGAAAAAATGTAATAAACATGTATAATCTGAGATTTTTCTAAGTATGTTCATTGTCCATTGATTGATGTAATTCATGAAGTGTTTTGTATCGAAGCTAGATCTTGGTTTGTTTTACTTACTGTAATAATTCTTTTGTAATGTGAATTCTATGAGGAAGGAAATGTTCGGAACAGGTTGCATACAGTATGTGTGTTAGTGTTTGAAAGGGGGTGTGGTATGGGTGGGCTAGAGAGAGTGGGGGGGGGGGGGGTGTCATGAGTTTGTTGGTGTGAGAGTGTGTGATAAGGTGGGACTATGTAACTTCAAACCTTCCTCTATGTTATTTTGATTATAAACTATTATGCAAGAAAAAAATGTAGAATTATGTAGATTCTCAGATTTTTTCTATGTTGTTCATTGATTGAAAGTAATTCGTGAAGTGTCTTGTATCAAAGATCTTGTTTTATATTACTTATTGTGATAATATCTTGTTAATAACATGTAAATTTCTTCTCATCTGAATTTATGAGGAAGGAAATAAAATATAATTTGAAACAAAAATACCATATGCATTTAAAATATATATATATATATATATATATATACATATATATATATATATATATATATATATATATATATATTTGTTCTATAATGTCAGTAGGCCCACCAACAAGGGTTTTCAAGGAAGTTGAGAAAATATGCTTTAAATTTATATGGAATGACCATAAGATAAAAAGAAAGATTCTTTATTTGAACTACGATTACTGGGGGATTGAAAACTGTTTAATTTCATATACATGATTTATGCACAGCGTGCAGTGTGGATGAAAAGACTTCTTTGTGGCAATCATATGACACGAAATGGAAACAATTTTTCGAATATTCAGAACGGTATGGGAGGAAGATTAATTTTTCTTTAGAATTATAACTCCAAAATAATCAATATCAAGGCACTGAATATTTACTTGGACTTTTTGAATATCTGGAATTAAAGAGAAGGAATATATTGTCAAAGACACACATAATGAAAATCAAATTATCTTTAACAATAGTTTTATTAAAGGTAGGATAGTACGCAAATATTAATCGACTACGAGGGTATTGGTGCAAACTATCATCACCGAGGCGATGATAGTTTGTATCCATTGCCCGAGTAAAGGAGGTTAATATGTTTTATATCCCACATCGGCAATAAGGTCTATTTAAAGTGAGTTTTACATAATAATAAGAACTGATTCTGCAGACAGTTTAGCTTCAGATAGATTTTACAAAGCGCAACATGCATACATGATTGTAATACAGTCGATGCGCGCTCATACTTTGACATTTCGCGTAACCTACTTTGCTATGCGTATTCAATGGGCAAGGGTGGGCAAGTGGGGTAGCAGCAAAAAATTACTTTACAATAAGTACTATCTTAGGTAGATAGTACTTGTCTATACCTTTTTCGTGCTCTGTACAATCGCAATGCAAACAACTATACATGAGGTATATAATTCTTTGTAATGCACATTTTTTGCATGTAAATTTTTTTCAGGTTAAACATTATTTTGATTGACGCAGGAGGTAATATGAGATTATGGTACTATTCAGGAAAAGTCGTAATGTAGACTATTTGTTTTGGGAAAATTTTACCCCTTAAAACTTCCCTCAAATCGACATTATAATTTATTTAAGGTCTTGAAAATGGCTTTTAATGGGAAACTGAATAACGACCATTAGTTGTCGAATCGACTGCTTGGAAATGGCCAATTTACTATGAACTTGATATGAATTGACTGTGAACGGGGTACAGACGACATGGATGTATTGAGGACTGTTTATGAACGAACTAGGATCGCCTATTAGGGACTTTTAGATTTGCACGTCGACAGCTTTGACTGCAACGTGTGACGTCATTTTAAGGCACTGCGCATGCGTTACGTCGTCTCAGTCGGCGATCGAGAATGCGTCAACCTTGATTTTCCTAAATCTAGTACATACATACATACACATTGGTATTATATAGCGACTTTACATGCTCAAGGTACTAGTATGCCGCGTGCGCATAAAATATACAGTTCCTGAGATAGACAAAGGAACATCCCTTCCCTGCTATTATGTAAAAATGTGTAGAACAGGTGTCACATGCATATTCACCTGTTCTACACATTTTTACATAATAGCAATGAAGGGATGTTCTTTTGTTGAGGGTAGAATGAGGAACTGTATATTTTGTCCTCTTTCTTTGTCTGTGATGTTCATAGTGTTACTTCCTGCATGCATGTATATCGTCGAGTGCAATCTAAAGATTTCTAATTATAGTCAACATGGGCAGTTATACGTTGACGCGCATGATCAGTCGGCGTTCGTCGTGTTCTCGTCCACTCAATCTAAAAGTCCCTAATATAGACATAATTTGCACATTCTAACTCGAACACAACCCGTTTTACGATTTTCTAGGATGGTTCCAGAACGTAGTAAGAACTAGTTTGGTGTGGTGGGGGCTTAATTTAGACAGGTGCGTGTGAACGTACGTTTACCGGCCTTCATTCCTAAGAGGGAAAAAGATGGACGGGATACTATACATCAAATATTTTTATTAATTAAATTTTATTTTCCATAAAGTTGGCCTAAATTCCAACTAATGAATAATTATAATAAATATGTTCTGTGGGCTTATGTTTCTCTTTCTTTGACAAAATGTTCTGTCTCCCTCGCCGTTCCCCCCCCCCCCCCTCCCTCGCTCTCTCCGTATGGAAACGTTGTACCATCCGCTCAATATATGACTTGCGTGCATAAAACAAATAAGCATTTTTGCATGAAAAAGTGAAGTTTTCTCAAAAGTGCGTTTCTTTTCCGCATTGGGGTGCATGGGAGTCGCTTGGATAACGTTTAAAAAAGTATGATATGAAAAAATAATATGCAATTTCTCTGTATATTTGTCGGAATATATATATATATATATATATGAATATGCTAATCATATCGCTCCGTTTAGTCTCATTTCACAACGCCCCCTATCGCCAGAGTCAGCAGCCATACATGTTAGCCTATGGAATTGTACAACAAAAATCTTTTAAAAAAATTTTTTTGTTTAAACGAAAAGCACATCCACCCCAACGTACGTTATCACTAGCTCTTTCATTGGAACCCTCATGTCCCATTGACTTTTGAAAGTTCGCCCACCGTAATTTGATCAAAATAGGTTGCAAGCTCGTCATTGCCTATATATACACACATGTGAAACAAGTCGAACTTTGGACTCAGTTTGCCAAGCGATTTTAATATTATAGGTCAAGCACACGAAGGATAAGAAGCACGAATTATCATAGATCACTTCTGCTTGGTTCATTATGTCCATTTCATCCAACCCACCACCGTCATTTTTTCATTTAGTAAAAGCAACCATTTTTCCGAGGTAAGCAAAAACATGGATATTCATGACACACCATGGACTATTCGGTTATTAACAGAGGGTCATCGAGTCAAACTTCCCTAATTGCCACCAAGTATTTCATATCATTATATAGTTTGGTATGTTTCTTTTACTCACTCATGAATTATTAAATATCAATGACGGTTTAAAGATATGTAAAATAAATTTTAGTCGATATTTATTGACAAAGTAATTTATATTTTCTTCCTCCACTTACGTTCCGTCAGAAAGTTAATTTATATTCTATATCTACCTTAATACAAAATAAATGACAAGTATGAAACAGGATATTGGTGAACAGATTGGTACGGAGCAGTACTGGCTCTTGACTCTTCTTTATTTTTGTTTACACTTCTTCTTTTTACAAATTCTTCTTTCAATTTGATGGATAATAACACGACGTGTAATATA